CCCCAAAACCCCAAAACCCCAAAACCCCAAAACCCCTGAGAACTTAATTTAGCAGAGAATAATTTAACAAATTAATTTAATCATTAATATGAGTCTTGAACATGCCTAATAAAAGTTAGGCATCGCTGGAATAAATCTTAATCACACTATTCATATGAATCTTAATTAAGATCAGCTTCATCATGTTATGGAAAAGTTGGTAATAAGTCTATCAGATCATATCGATAAAACAACTAAGCTTTTTCAAGACAAAAGTGAACATTAAATAGAGTAAGTCAAAGTTAACTATATTCCTTTTATTGCTGGCTTTTTCATAATAAGAACAATAATTCATTTTCTCATAGATCTAATTTGGAAATCAAAGATTTAAAAACTAAACTCAGAGACGTTATAATGAGATAAGAGGGATTTATGGAAAGACTTAATATATGTAAGTATGATTAACTGCTCAAACTGTATCTAATACAATATATTATTATAAATGGGGGTTGTAAATTAAGCTGTTAATTTTAGTAAATGAGATGGCATAAAATACAAGGAAATCGACTTAAAGTTTAACTACATTCAACTAGCAACACATACTAGACTTCAAGAATGTCTAAGAGCAGGTATAGATAATTTTCGAACAACTATCAGCCTAAAAGTAATGTGTGACTCTAATGGATTCTAAGTTGACTTCATTCGAAAAGTTAGCTGATATCTAAATGAATGGAGGAATTAGTAAAATGACTGATGCTTTAGAATAAATCAATTCGCTCTATCTGAGCAAGGAATATTTTATGGATCGATGGAGGTAATATGAGAGATTCAAAGAAGCCACAGAAGTGAAGCTTGAGCAGATGGCTAATCTTAACCCCAAACAGATAGAAACTTAATTCAGAGAGATCAATGCCAGACTGATTCCACTAGAGGAGCAAATGAGAACTAAAATTGATTGTGACTTATTTGATGATGAAATTGATAAGATCAAGACATTAATGGTTAATAATTAGCACGCGTAAATTATCATATAAATCATCTTAACTATTCTCTAGACACTCTGGGTATGTGAAAGTAGAATAGGTAGCTGAAAAATCAGTTAGATAAAAAGATCTCATGGCAATCAAAGAAAAGGCTTAGAAAATTGATGACTGTTTGATAGCTTGCATCAATTTTGAAAAAAAGCTTCAGTAATATGCTGGGTTCGCCTAGAAAATGGAAGAAATTGAGTCAACTTTCGATGAGTGCTTAAAAATTAAGGATTTAGAGGATTTAGAAATTAAGGTTGAACATCATAGACTTAGTCTTGTTAAGATCGATTCTTACATTGAAAAGTCAAAGGTAAAGTTAAAAGAATAGTCAGCCACTCTCTCTGAATCTAAATCAATGGTAAGCAAAGATTATATCACTAACTTAAATTAGCTTGATTCTCATGATTCATGGCTAAGAAGAATTAAAGAGTAAATAGACGAGCTTAAAATGAGCTAACATTTGATGAATAAGACTAGTAATAGCATTCCTTAGCATAGTAACTTTAATTAAACAATAAAAAATATAGAGGAAAAGCCATCATTTGGAATAAATCTCGAGGATAACTAATCTATAGAAGAAAAATTAGCTGAGCTGATTGATGATGTAGAGAAGACTAAAGAATCTTTGAAAGTTAAATCACATTATCTCTCTTAATCAGTAGATGCTATCAACATTTAATTGAAGAAAAAACTTGACAAAGTAGTATTTGAATAGTTTAAAGATACTGAATTCTTTTCAAGTATTAAAGATACTCTGATTCCGTAGCTTAAAAAAACTTTTCCAGAAAAGACCAAAACAGTTTAAAGCATTGATAAAATTGAAAAAGTAGTTTAAACTATAACAAAACAAGTTGAGGCACTTACATAAAATACAAAAAATTCTAGAGAAGAGGAGGATGTAATGCTTTCAAAGAAAAACTACCAGTGCCTATCATGCGATAAAAATCTTATAAATATTTAGTCATCGCCTGCAGAATACTATACTTGGTCAAAGCTCCCTTTAAAAGAACCAGGCGACAGGATAGCAAGATTAGGTAAAGGTTTTTCTAAAATTCTAGGGAATTATAAAATCGAAAAGTAAATCATCCCAACAATTAATATCGCAGAAACAGTTGTGCATTAAGAATCCATAGAGAATGAAGCAGATCAAGATGATGTATTTTAAACTGACTATTAACTCAAAAAATTAATGAGCCCTTTAAGCAAAGTAAAATCAGCATACAAATCACATAGAGATATGAAAGTTCCTGGATCCGGAATGCTTTTATAATTGCCAGCTGCAAGTAATATGTTAGATGAACTTGGTTAACTAAGTCAAATGAGCTACACTGCAAGAGGAGGCTCGAGACAGCATAAATCAGGAGGTGTGAACGGATATCAGAGTTCTAGAAATGAAGGAAATATGATTGCTCCTACTCTAGCTAAAACTTCGATCAGACTAAAATAAATCACAAAGATTTAATAATAAATGCATCAACATAGTGAAAACGATCAAAGAATAAGGAAAGTTGAAAGTTCCTTGAGAGCCATTTCCGTTGAGGGTAACAACAACAATCATTGAATGCTTTTGCGATAATAAGATTTAATTTGGATTGATATTTAGTATTTATTTATATGCTGAACAATCTAATTCATGGGGTTTTGGGGTTTTGGGGTTTTGGGG